GAGAATTAACTTTGGTGACAATCAGCACATACATTCTTACATTATTTCTAAGTGCACTGCTAATTATTGTACTACACAAAAATGTTTTCTGTCAGCAAAAAGCTATTTTCCACACAAGACTCAAACTCAGATTCCTCTGAGTTAACTTCCTGTCAGACATACCAGTTCCAAACTATAGAAGAATGGTAAAGTTTTGAACTCCAGCTGATACTTAAAAATGTCCTGAACCGAAAAATTCCAACACACAATTTTTCCAATTTTGAAATATGGAGAGAGTTTACTGAAAATAGGTTACCTTTTTCCAATTTAAAAAAAATGGAGAGTTTGCTGAAAATATGAGTTAGCACCATATTTTTTACCCTCCCTTATTACATATGTCATCACTCACTAAAATAAAAATGAGATGTTACTGTAAATATAATGTTGTAATGATACACATAATACACTTTAAATGCCAACACTAAAGAGCCTGGTAGTTTATGAAAATACTTTTTATTATTTCGATTTTATTGAATTTTTTTAATTACATAAACCAATTATTGCACTTCTGGAGTGGATTTAGGTGATTTTTATTTTGCCATTTTTGTTGTATTTTTGCCTTATCTGTTATTATATTTTTTCTTTTCTGCCTTTTCTTCTCCTGACCCCTGGTCTTGATCAAGATGGAAAGGTACCTGTAAACCTTAGATAACACGAAGGATGGTGTGTTTCTGGGGAAGAGACTTCATCTTTCTGTGGAAGCAGAGTACCAGGGTCAGGTAATTGTTAAAAAATCTAAATAAGAAAAGATACCAGTAATAATTTAATTTTTCTTGATGCTGCAGGCTCACGAGGAATCCCATGCTACTTCTGAGTATGGCCTTGAAACCATTGAGGACAAGCTCTATATGTATGATATACCCTTCTCATTTCTGTGATTTTACAAGAGTGAAGAAAAATAAATACCATTTCACCTGGACGACATTTGAAGATTTCAAAGGGAGTCAAAAATTGATTTTGAAGAGACAGCTTTAGCAAATATTCATTATCCAGTTGGTCATGTGTAATCAAGTTTACAAAAAAGATTGTTTCCTTTCAACATAAGTGCTAATTTAAGTTGTTTTTTTTGGGCTAGAATAACAACTTGAATCATTTTAATTGTAATTTTTTACAATAATTCCTTTTAAAATGGTTTTAGAGTATACATGCCTGTTTGCACACTTTACTTTAGATAAAAAATGCTTTTGCATGCACTAAAATAAATGTCTTTTTCAGCCCATTTAGGAAAAATAAATGCCTGAAATATTTGGACTTTACTAATAATAGCTCAATTAAATCTTTCTAAAATTTATTGAATATTATATTAAAAAATAACAAATATATAAAAGAATTTGAAAGATGAAGATCTGAATTAATAAACTACATTTTCTAAAAACATTCCTTCCCCATAATATTTCTCTAGATTGTCTCTGTAAAACAAAAACAATGCCTAAAGTGTAACAAAGGATATGGAATGGAAAAATAAATGAGATTATTCTGAGTTAAAAATCATAAAGTATAAATCTTTTATTCTCTAATACATTGGTAGTTTGCAATTCCTTTATTTTGCCTAACATTTACATGTATTCAGATCACAAACAATTAAAACTGTAGAACGCTACACTTCAAAGAAAAGTATGATAGTAACAGACAAAGAACTTTCATGGCACCAGAAACAATTGCAGTTTAAACTAGGATATTCATTATTTTTGAGATATCAATATTTTCCTTATTTTTCAAAAAAAATTGATCAACATGCTAATAAAACAAATCATCTTTGGTCCAAAACCTATATCTTGACCTCCTCTTTGAATTTTCCAGGAACAGGATTCTTGACAATAAATAATTAGGCAATATATTTTTCATAGAGTTTGAATTATGTCACAACTGGAATAATTTGTGCTTCAATTTATTATCTGGTATCTTCATATATTACAGACAATCATTTGTAAATTAATCACTTTTGATTGTAACAAACGAGAATACCAGATGACCAAAAAATATTTTTCACAAAAATATTGATAAGTTTTAATTCGATGTGTACACAACAGGTTAATCTACATAAAATATAATTCTGGTAATCGAATAGAACTGTAAGAGTGATATTAGCACCTACATGACCACAAAATGTCTCGTACATTATAACTAAAAATCTTTGGGAACAAAAAGAATTTTCTATGTATAGCTCAGTCTTATGTTACCCAAATATAATTTCATAGCTATTATCAATATATTATGGGCAATATTAATTCCATTATGTAGTAATGCTACTATATTTTTAAGTCAATTTTATGTCTATGCCAGCACACCAGAAATTACTACAACGTCTTAGGCATCTTTCCAAACCTTATGCCTGTATTGGACTGTTTTTCCATTCCCACATGGTTGGTACCCGTGACTTAGACAATCAGTTCTGCAGTACATGGATGTTTTGGCCAAGGCCCAAATGGGCAAGGATAATTGGAATATGTAAAGATTGTATTTTGTTTTTTAGAGGTTTTAATGTTTTACTATCCCACAAAATAAAAAAAAACAGGCGCAATTCTTCCTCTCTTTTTTTCACGAACATTGTTTTCTATAATCATATCTACATGCTTCCCATCAAACCCAATTGATTTGTGGATCAAGGATAAAGATTATATGTGTGATGATATTTTGTATTAAATATGAAATAGAATGGGAAATCCAAATAGACAAATCAGTGAAGAAATTTACAACGAAGCATTGATTTCAATTGCGAACATGTGCTTGATGACGTCAAACAAACTATTAATTCAATTAGGCCTGTCCGCGCCCAATCATCCAATGCATGATGCTTTTAACCAAGAGTTGAATCGAGAAAAACTGTATGATCTCAACACTTTGAAAGAATTAATTCAAACAAATCTTCCACTGTTGAATCAACAACAGAAGTATGTATTTGATTCTCTTACGAAAGTAACAAATGATGAAACTGGAGGGATTTACTTCTTAGATGCACCTGGTGGTACAGGAAAAACGTTTTTGATTTCATTAATATTAGCAACGATTCGCTCACAAATAAAATTGCACTTGCCCTCGCTTCATCGGGAATCGCAGCAACTTTGCTTGAAAGTGGTCGAACAGCCCACTCAGCATTAAAATTGCCATTACAAATCTTTTTGACAGGACGAAGTCTGTCGGGTCCGTTAGTTTATAACATAAAAATGTTTTCAAAATCATTACTGAGGAACTTGAGCGATTAAAAAGGATGCTACTTCAGTCTGCACAGCCTCTCCAATCAGTGTTGTCCAATAACATTCATATATGTGATCTAGAATTATAATAAAAAATTAAAGGAGAAAATAAGGGAACCAGCATGAACCAAGAATTTTAATACGAGATCAGCCTATTTTGAGGGTTGATGTAACACCCAACACTGCATAGATGCAAAAGTTTTCTTTTCTAACATTAAACTAAGTTTTAATCCACCATACCTCATTCATATTCACACAAAAATAATTTCTTCTTAATTTTAAGGAAGACACTGAATAGTAGGAATGTTTGCCATAAATTTAATTGAACTATTGGAGTGTTACAATCGACTTTACTTTATGGGTGCAACAATGTGCCATTTGATGTTATTTTAACCCAGTGTTCACACTGTACATGTCAGTTAGTCAATGAAGATACTCTTTTGTCAGATGTTTGAAATTGAAGAGATCAAGCTCCATTGATACATTTCTCTCGTAACAGGGTTACTTTAGAAGTTTACATAGCTCACACTAACATGAACCTTAAAACACTCATACATACACAAAAACAAAAAAGACACCACAAACTTGCCTTTGAAGAATCACAAAAATTGGGCTTCAGGTACATGATGGTTCAGAAAAAATATTAGAAACTTATTGTGCGTGTCGGGGGAGCTGAAGATGATAAATTATTGCCAATGAATGTGTGGTGGGAAATCTCATAATGGAGTAACACATGCAAGATTTATGAGTGGCTGACTGACAGGTAACTCATCCTGCACTGGTATTTGGCAGGTTCTGATGCAGTCAGTTTCTATACTTGCAAACACCAGTGCAAGATAAGTTGCTGACAAATCTGGGGCAAAATTTCAGTTACGTAACTTTATTATACGAGATTTCTGATCTCTGGTTCCTTGACAAAAAGTTTTTATGTTTACTCTGCATTAGTGTCAAGGCTGACGAGGGTTGAAAATATCTTACTGTACAGGAGAAGACGTAATAAAGCATTGAAACGTTGGCATATAAAACATTTGCTTTGTATCCTTTCACTATTTATTACCAAGAAATCATAGTAAATAAAATTAGTTTGAGAAACTTGAGTCCCTTTCCACTGAAAAATTATTTTTTTCATGTCAAAATTTTATTTGGGAAAGTATTATTATTTTCTGAACAATTAATGACTAAAAGGTCTAAATTTAATTTTCAAAATGACTCATCTTGAAAATTTCTAACATGAGTGTTGTATTACTGACTTCAGAACTTGAATAAAAATTTTAAAAAAGAATGTTGATTGACATTTGACTATTTCTAGAATAGTTTTAGGAAGAATATTTCAAACTTTTTAAAATACTGTATGCAATGCAGCTTTAAGCACTTTCAAATAGCAAATCCCAGTGTAAAATGGGCCGGAGGAGAATATGTCCCCATGGACCTACAAATGTTTCAATATGTAATCTATTACTTATGTGAACTATATAATAATTTAGTAAAAAAATATATTAAATAATATTATTTGTACATGACAAGAGATAATTTAAAACGCTTTTTAATGAAGATATTTCATAGAAAGCACTTTCTGGCTCTGCTCCTGAAAGTTTCTTTGAAATCAATCCACAATACAAATTTTTAACAATGAACAATGAAGTCAAAAATTTAAATATTGAATATATGACTTTTTAAAAATAATTATAATGCCAAGAGCTCTGTGATTTATGGACAATGGTAACTTTTTCCACAAAATGTAAAATTACCATTGTGTTTTAAAAAATAAGAGATTATTCTTTATTTACCACATCACTAGTTGGCATAAATGTTATCATGGAAAGGAAGCATTTATTTTCATGATGGTTTTGCAATTCACTGGCAGAACTGAAACTTTGACCACAATCAGTACACTGATGGCTTAACCCTGCTGGTCTTCCCTTTTCATGAGTATTTTTATGAGCAGTTAACTTGTGTTTGAACAAGAAAGTCTTAGAACATTCATTGCATTTAAATGGTCGTATTGCTGAATGACTCCGCATATGATTGTGGTAGGCAGAACGCCAAAGAAAACTTTTGTTGCACACAGAACAAACATGTTGTTTGGTACTATTGTGCAGTCTCCTATGGGCATAAAGAACTCCAGAACTAGCAAATGATTTTTTACACACTGTGCACTGATACGGTCGTTCGCCTGTATGATGTCGCATATGAACAGTTAATTGCTCTCCAGTATAGAAGGCCATAGAACAAATAGTACAGTCAAAAGGTTTGATTTTATTGTGTTTTTGTACATGAAGTTTCAAGAGCTTGTTGTTCCTGAATGAGTTACCACAAAATTCACACATTAAATTTTTTCCTTTTATAGTTCCCTCATAATTATGCACCTCATTTTCTGAAGTACCATTTAATTCAACCAACTTTCTACTGTACTCTTTGCCATGTGATCGAATATGGGCAATGAAAGCTCCCAAATTTTGAATTGACATTCCACACACTTCGCATAAATGAGGGTCTTTAGCAAAACTATGAACTTTCTTGTGGCGAATCAAAGCTTTGGGATTTGAAAACACTTCATTACAATCAGAGCAAGTATAGTTGCCTTGTTCATTCTTGACTGAGACTTGCTGACTTTTTAACTGAGTTAGACAAAGTAAATAATGCTTCATAAACCTTTCTACAGTGAAATGCATAAAGCAAATGTCACAAGTTAACTTCCTCTCAGGATGGGGGTTGTGAACTTCTTTAATATGATTGGACAGATCACCAGGTACAACAAATTCCAGTTGACAGTTAAAGCAATTATATTGTTTAGAAATAACATGAGATAACTTGTGTATATCCCAATACAGTTTATTTTTGAAAATTCTTGGACACCTTTTACATTTATATTCTTTTATACCATGTCCTTCTTTATGAGAAATAAAACGACTATGAGTATAAAACACTCTCTCACAATAAGGACATTTATAAAAGACACAAATGTCAGGATGCATTTTTTTATGGGTCAAATATGTCTCCATTGAAATTTCTTCTGTGCAAGTTTTACACCTGAAAAAAACTGACTTTTCCTCTTGATCTTCATTTTCACTATCAATATCAACTTCAGATCTCTCTACAGTTTCTCTAGTCTCTTTCAACATATTCTCCAACAATTCCTGAAACATAAAATGTGCACAAAATTGAGTATCGCCAACTTGAAGTCAAAGATAACGTATATTAGACCCGCAAGAAGGTGAACTTACTTCAGAAACTTGTAAAGGAATTTGCAGTGAAAATAAAAAACTTTAGTCTTTTCCCTAGGCCAGATATTAACGAAATTATATGTAAGTGTTTATAACCATTAATCTTGAGAACGATGATACATATATAATACCTTCTAAATATAATATTCTAAGGAAAGATGTAACATATGTAAGATACCAATAACACAAAACCCTGACAATGTGCTACTGATGAATAAGATTTTACCCTTTAGAGGTCCTCAAACAGATATAAAAAGAAATGCAGAATTTTGTAGAATATGAATGAAGAAGCTAGAAGGTGCACATACAACCAACAATACGTGTTACACTGCATCACAAACTTTCATTAGTATAACTCAAAAATTGTAATGTCAGCCGCTGGGCGTATGTAGTAATCTAAGGTTCTTGTGATGCCTATCAGTGCTATTGTTGGTTCAGCCGATTTCATTATAACTAAAGATAGATTTCCTGGTAAAGAGCAGTTCAAACTTGGATTGGACTGCTTCCAAAATGCTTTTAGGCCATTTTTAAAACATTTTAAGAGCATTTTATTGATCATTTTTGGTGATGTTTTAGGTCATCAAAATTTGCCCCTAGTTATAAGCATACCCTTCTTAACACTCACCACAGTGTTTTTTTCTGGATGACTGCGGTAATGCCGGTTTAGTTCATTGTGTGTTGTGAAGCCTACATTGCATTCTTCACATCCAAAAGGAAAATCGCCTACAGGATAGTTGATTGGCCCCAATGAGTAATGAATCTTTCTATGTGAACAATGGTCACAGCTGATAAACTGGCCGTTATGACATACTTTGCGATGTGCTACAAGATTTTGCCATGACATGTAGGTCTTGGAGCAGAGCTGGCACATATAACGCTTTGTTTCCCTGAAGAATGAAAACAATATGATAAAAAAAATTTCCCACAATCACTTGTCAAAAACACACTCCATTAAATTCAAATCTTAGGGTGATAATGAATTTAAAATAATAACAATTCTTCAAAACACAAATATGAGTTATTGTTTAATTTAATAATGTGATTAAATGATTGAAAATACTTTTAATCTTTTAATTTGTTGCAATATTTATCTTTGTTTCGAGAGTACCTATATAATTAGATGTACACAGAACACACATACAAAAAAATACTAACTCATGTTCTTTCATGTGAGCATCAAATTTTTCCAGGTCATCAAATTCAATATTACACATGTCACATTCAATTGGCAAGGACAGATCTAAGCCATGAACTGCGAAAGCTGCTTCTTTCAGATCTAGGTAACTCTTTGTAATTTCTTTGGTTTGCGCTTGTACCATTTTAACACGATATGTTTCACTTTCAGAGATGTTACCATTTAGTTCACTGTAACAGTAAAATAAAACAAACATTCATTTTTCTTACAAAACTAGCATGGCAATATGTAAACACACTTGAGGATGGAATTATTTAGCTCTTGAACTGTGCATAGATTTTTATTCCTGCGGAGAGGTTTCTTTGAAGTCTTTGTTTGTAAATTCTGTAGGATGTTAGAATGTTAGCAGGGTCCTAAAAGTCATAATTAATTATTATTTTGTTAATACGTACTCGGAAGATTTCACAGATTTAAAATAACACAATACAACTTGTAAATCAGGAGCACATCTAATCGTTAGTGTATATATAGCTTTTATTATAAATGTAAGGTGAGAAATTATTCATTTATATTAGCAAAGTTATCATTACATATTCAATGACTCCCTTATCTTAAGTATACCAATCAGTATGGTGTATGGATTGTTTCTACAAATTGCACCACTGTATACTGCAATTTTTCTAACTCTGTCCCTAGCAGGTGTCAGATGTTGATGATTTCATCCAATTGGGAGCTTGAACATCACCATAGTGATGTCAATATCAAGCTCTCAACTGATATTGCTCTCAGTTGAGAGCTTGATATTGACATCACTATGGTGATGTTCAAGCTCCCAACTGGATAAAACTGTCAACTGCTGTTATCTGCCAGGGGCAGAGTTGAAAAAATCGCAGTATAGTTATTGAAAAATTGTTGTGTGAAACCAAAAAGAGTACAAGTCAAAAAGTAATCATTGGTCACGTACATGATACACCTAATTGCCAGTCCCATTACAGAATATAACATCCAAGATATTCATTCTTTGTATTTTTTATGGGCAATTGTTAGCACAAATTTTATTTGGACACAATTATTAAAGAATAGTGTCCATATTAAACATATACAATATGGAGAGACTGAAGGGTGGAGCATTACCATTTATTTGGAATGTGAACAAAGTGAGTCAACTTGGCACAGAAGTAGTTTGCTATAAAAATAAATTTGTATTTTCCAATTTCTAAAATAAAAGTTGTTTTGAATTATCTCTACTTACAGTCATCCTAAAAAACAAATGTAATGCAATAACAAAAACTCACCTCCTAGCATCCACAAATTGACAATCCTAAGAAACATTTAACCAAAATTTAATACATACCTAGATCCAGTTTTGTCAACATATTCATGGTTTGCTTTATTCGTGTTATCTATATGAGTACTTCTGGTAATTTTGTTGCCCATCTCTGGGGGAAGTTCAGTTTTTCCTTTATCAGATTCTTGCCAATCGTCAATTTTCACAATATCAAGGCCTATTTCTAACAAGGTATTTTGTGTCATTAAAGTACCATTTCCAATACTTTCAGCATCATTTATTAATACTAACTGAGAAGAAGGAAACTGAAAAAAAACAAAACAGGATTATTGACATACAAATTTTGTTTGTAGAGACAATGCAAAACAGCATTATATATCTACTATTTTTCTGAATTAAAATTATAAAACAGAAGGGATTAAAAAAATGTTTCACAAAAACTGCATTTATTTGTTTCTAGTGGATGCCTGGCTAAGACCCCCAATTCAGAGTTAGAGGTCAGAAGATATTATTGACATACAGTGTCACCTCTTCTCTAAATTCAAATTTGAATTTTTTATACGTTTAGATATACAAAATGAAACCTAATGGTCCAAAAATTAAGTTATAAATTAATATAAATAATTTTTATACTAGTCACCTCAAACACCAGTTTTATAGTTTTTAAGAAATTAACAAACACAATATAAAACATGAAAAAAAAAATTATTTATTTTTGGTAAACATTTATCTATTTCTAATTTTATTTTTTAACATTTTGTCATCATTTCTGAGACAATGTTCTCTAAGCCAAGAACTTGGTGTAGAATGTGTTTTATGGAGTAATCCTCACTTAAACTACACTTTTTATTATAGGGTATATTGTAGCTGAATCTGTAGTCCGCAAGTAATGTCAGCAGTCATGAGGAGAACCACCAGTTTTCCTCTAACACGCCTCTCACACGTCACTACCCAGCAGCCAGAATTGGAAAGGAAGGAATTAGGACAAGGGTAGGGTTTAGGATGTTTCACAGGAGCTGCACTAGCCCCTGTAAAGCAGGCAGACTTGTTTTGTGGGAACAAATTTCACATGAGCTTGTCTGGGAATTGAACCCGGACCTTTTAGGTGAAAGGCAAGGAACTTCACTCTGATCCACAAGCTACAGTTTTTCTAATTAATGACGCTTTTCAGAATTGTTTCACTTGCCATTTATCTACAATGCAATATGATTTAACATCTTGTCAGTTTACTGTGAAAGTCAACTATGCTATAGTCCTAATGTTTTATTTTTCCCTTTCAAAATAAAATTCAAGGAATAATATTGCCATTCATATTAATGTTCATTTGGTTACCTACACATAAGAGACACCCATTGTTTAAAAAAATTAGGGTTTTATCACAAAATAATCCATGAAAAGAGAAATAAAACACCTTTATAAAATGATACAAAGAGCAAAATTATACAAGTGTGTTTATGCTCCCACACAATAAAAATAAAAAATTGAATAGTTCCGAACTGCTTAGAAGCTCTTTAAATCATTTATCATTCAATAATCAAAACTCATTTATCATTCAATTAATTAAGAGAACGTGGAAAGCTGAAATGGTCGAATTAGTTCATTTAATATTGGTTCACATTAAAAATAGTTTTTTTGAATTTAATTCTTCTAGAAGCTGCTTTTACAAAGAACAACCTGAATAATATTAGTGTAGAGTAATTTTATGAGTGTCAGGTCCTTATATTCCTTGGCATCTCAGTGTGTGCAGACTAAAGATGATCTCTATAAGCAAGTATAACACAAAGTACTCACTTCTTTTGTTTCCTGAATATGGAGAGTGTAAACTGGGGATCCCAGGTTTTGACTCTGAACATCATGAATCTCCATTATGCAACTATTACTATCAGCAAATTCAATAAAATTTAATTTGCTTTCATCTCTCTTCAAATAGATTTTTATTTTCTAACTTGTCTGTTTTCAGCAAACCTAAAATACAAATTAAACTGGTATAATATATACATAAACAAAAAAAATCATTCATGCTTATAGTTGCCTATACAATGCCACTTGCGCAATGCAGAATCTCAAGGGGCCAGTATTTTTTCTACATTATACAAAATTTTGTATTATACAATCTGTAAACAATACTGTCAAATTTATGTTTGCCAGGACTGTGGTTTATGTTCACAGTGAACAGATTTCCACATTAAACATTTTCTGCACGGCTCAAGTTTCACTGCACTTTTACGTATATTTACTCTACTTATATGAGCTTACTAATGAATTTGGAACATGTTGGATTTACACAAAAAAAGAAAGAAAGAAATGCCATAAAAAAATATAGGACCGATTTTAATTCTGGTGAGTAGTTTTAAAACCTTGAGTTGAACCTGAAAAGATACAGAAGATAAAGCATGATGGCAACATGATAAATTACCAATAACAATGTATTACATTAAAATATGACAGAGAAGCAAATATTACTTATGAGACAATTATGCCCAATATTTTATAACAACAATAGTTAAAAATTACAGAATTAATATTTTCAGGATTTAGAATTACAAAATTACAATGTCAGCATTTAAAAATTAAAAGCTTTGTAGATTATAAAAAATATTTCAGATTTATAATAATTCTTAGGTAAATGAATTCTTTTGTGAGTGTCACAGCACAATAATATTAGCCACTTAAGATCATGTTTATTTTATGTATTTTTTAATACAATATAATCATATTTTACACAAAGCTGTCAGAAAAGTTAACAGAAGAGTAAATGCAATATCAATTTAGCTTACTCCATTCTTTTACTTTTTACCCCTTTAAGTGAGCGACAGACATACAATTCTTCCACAAAGTCGATGAAAAATTTGTATGTCACAGAACGGAATTCAAATAAGACAACTTGCTTTTCTGCCTGAAAATGGCCTCTGATCAGCCTCTGATGTTGGTTGCCCATTCACGATCACAGACGTCCACTGACCACCACCAACCACTACGTTCAATGCACTATGAAAAACACATTAAACGTGACGGCACAAATGTCATATTCAATTATACGAAATATTACAATTTACATTAATTATACTGGACTACAATATAATTAAGGGTAATCATAATTCATTTTGCACACACACACACAAAAGTGGAATCAGTGGAATTATGCAAGTTCCTTGAAATAGGAAGGAGCGAAAGAGATGTTGCACATCATCAAGCATCTTTATCACTTTTGAGCCTCATCTCATGCGCTATTTCGCAGAGCGTATTATCCGCGGACGTTTGCTTGTGCGTTAATTTCGCTAGACGCGAGAGAAGTAGGGAGGTTGGTTATTTTGACAGAACTAATATAAATATTAAATCAGTTTAGTTTGTTTTTCAGCGCAAAATATTGTCTGTTCACGGAAGCGAAAATTTCTAATTTTCTGACTTAGTTAATAACGCTCGTTCGTATAATTTATTCTTAATTCAATTAATATTAGTAAGGTAATGAGGGGTAGATATTTTGTGGCTCAAGAACATGTGCGCGTATTATAAAGAAACCTCGAGAATAACCAATAGAGACGTCCAAAATGATGTCCTAATGTCTGTCGGGAAAGTTAGGTTATTTTGACAAAAATAATTTTATGTCGTATTTAAAGTTCGTTTTTCGATGTTTTTTCTTTAAATGACCCGGGGAAAAGTTATAATAAAAAGTATAATGAATGTTCAAAAATTGAACACACATTTATGAGTAAAATTAAATATAAATTAATAAATAATTTATGCCTGTTAATTTTTTTCTATGAGAAATCAATTGTACGCTCAATAAATCATAATTCCCAATTCACATGACAAGATTTTCGTGCCATTCTCAGATGTTTCATGTGAAAACGTATGTAGATTTTCCACGTTTTTGCAATAATATATAAACAATCACTAAATGACGTAGTTCTCAATAAATAAGTTATTTACTTGCATTGTCTGAACGTGTTGTACAAACACAGCATCATAATATGTACTATGAGCCACAAACGTTTTCTGAACCTTTAAGACTTTATTTGTGTAAAAGCTAAGCCCAAATATTACGTAGGTCACCAAATTAACTGTTTTCTTCTGCCACCAGGGCTGTCCTGGTGTGTCCCAATTGTATTGCAATAAATGGCATCAAATGTTCAATAAACATTGTCAAGCAAAATATATTTTAAAAAAAGTTTCATAAAAAATGTTTAAAAATCATTGGGGATAACGAGTAATACTTTAAACGCGTGTCATGAATATTGAAATTAAACCATCAAAATTTGAATTCAGCACTGGAAACAGCAAACATATTTTTTAAAAAATGATAAATATTTATTTATATTTTTAAATAAACATATTGTTATTACACTTAATTCATTGAAACAGGTAAGTTTATAGTGTGCGTTTTCCTTACAATGTCCCAGTATAAGCTGCTGTGTGACGATGAGAAAATTCACTTCTCTGGTTGAGAAGGCCTGAGCCCGTTCACAGACTGCCACGCCAAGTACATACATACAATACATTGAAGTTAGTCGCCCACTCTGAAAATCCTGCGTTTCTTGATCCTTTTAGAGGTGTTTTGAGTAAACTGAATGCTACGTAAGTTAGAATGTATATATTATTTCATATTTCTTTGTTCGTTTCTTACATTGGAGCTTTTGTTATATGTATACGAATTAATCTTTTAGAAATTATTAAAAACGTATTGGAAATAAATATGAAATAAAGATAGCTAGTCTTCAGTGGC